ATAAAGAAATGCATTTATTTGTTCTTCTCTAAGATTAACAAACGTGGGAACAGGTGCAGTAATTTCGTTTTAACCAGCTCGACGACTTAATGACCGAATTCCCAATAGTGTCTACATCAGTATTATTTCCTTGTTGGTATGTCTTTTATCATAGAAGATGTCAAAAAGGTACTTTCGATCGTTGTAGTTAAACAATTACCCGAACATCGACACTTGGTTTTAAAGAAGGGCAAAAACTTCGTGTATATATTTATATTTATTTGTATCTCACTCTCTTAAATCATTATTTAACTTCTCTCTTTAAAACTTTTCTCTGTTAAATTTTAATCCCCACCTTCACCTTTAGGCTTTTCCTGTTCTTCTTTCTTCTGTTACACCCTCTCTCTAGAGCTTTCATACATTTCCCCTCACACTTGTTTCCCACTCCCACACAAAGACACTCAGTAAAATTTTGTTTTTCCTACCCGGGGTTATCTTTTCCGATTTCTTTTATAATTTGTAGGTCTGATGATTTGTATCGTGATTCCAATGTAATAAAATATAACCATGGAATATTAGTGTTTGAGTCTTATATATATATATATATATATATATATATATATATATGGGGGGGGGTGAGTGTGTGTGCTTGTGTGCGTGGGTGCGCGCGCGTGTGAGGGTGTGTGCAGAAATAGCGAAATGTAGCTGTAGACTAAATGCCAATAAGAATGAAGACAAAAAGAAAATTTATCAAGTGACGCGTTTCGTCCTCAAGGGGACTTTACGAATGCAAATATAAGGATCTTTCAGCAGCAAGTATTCAGAAACAAAAGTCAAAACATTGTTCGTTTTTCAATTTTTTAAAAATTTAAGTGACGCTCATAAATATTCAGCAGGTTAACTGAATATTTATATTAATCTGTTAGTAGTTTCCATAATTCCTTAAACATTTCAGTTAGCTTGCTTTGTTTTAACATATGGACATTTCATAACTAAGTTACGTCCCCTGACATTTACATCTTGAAATTTAAATCGTACAGTACATAATATTTTTATTATTTTTCAACTCAGAGTTTACAAAAATAACTTTCAGGGGAACGCAACATAAAAACACGCTGATGATCACATTGTGCTTATGTCGAAATTACTCGGAATAAATGTATATACATCAAAAGGGTAATTTTCTCTTCCTTTAAAAAGAAGACTAAGAAGCCTGTACGTAAATATGAGAGTATCCTATAAGTAGACAAAATTTATCTAAATTATTTAATGAAACATATTTTAATGAAACATACTGCCAGAATATAAGCAATATACACTGCGTGCCAAATTATTATCGAGGTAACTTTTTTTCTAATATATCAAAAACCGTCCAATCAATTCACACAGAATTTAATTTGTACTAATTAATTCCTCAGTAATAATGAATACATCGATTTCTTTTTTGTATCAGCTTTATTATTTTAAAATCCAGTGGATTATATACCAACAGATAAGTTACCTTTACTATATATATATATATATATATATATATCCTTCGCTATTTTCAGATGAATCCAGTATGTGAGTAGGCTATCGGTGTTTCATAATTTTATGCAATTTCTTCTGTCGGCAATACACTCATGAAAGCTTATTAAAATGAATCTGTTCTCCGTTCTCTTTAAAAGGTTTCCTCATATGTGCAGATCAGAAGAAATAAAATACTTTTAAAAACAGTGCATCTGCGCAAATACAGGTGTCCACTAAAAACAGTGGTTGAAGTAAGAAGAATATGTCGGATCACAAAAAGAAAAGCCATTAATTCTTTAGAAATTGCTTTCTTTACGTTTTGGATATAAAACTAACTGATAACGACTCTATCAAAAATTTGAACTTTAAAGGCAAATAGAGACTTTCTTAATTGGGGAGCTCTTCATAGCCGAATCAAACGTAGAAAGAAGGAGTCCTTCTGCAAAGTGGGACGTAGGTTCGAGTACTTTCTGAGGGAATATTATCTCAAGTTTTCAGACCCACAGATTAGATAAATACTGTGTAAAACTTAACGCTTAAAATAATAAAAATATTTTTTTATTAAAAATATAAAATTCATTAATTCGTAATCCATCCAGCTCTTATCTCAAATAACAACTTAAAAGAGACTGTTTGACCAACACAAGGAATGTTAAAAGATTCATGTTACAAAGATAAAACAAAAAATACAAAAAAAAACAAAAACAAATGAAAACTACAGACAAAAGTTCATTTACTCCATCAACCAGCAAGCAGATTTCTTCTCCCGATGATGGCCATTTTAGCCGAAACTAGTCGAGGAATCTAAATGTAGTAATAAAAAAAAATGAAAGAATATTAATCTACAACCCAGTGTGTGTGAAGATTTTATTTTTTTAATATTTTTTTATTGTTCAATATATATATATATATACATATATATATTCTGAAGAAATAGTGTTTTGTTTTAAACGTTACTAATCCAATATGTTTTTCTCACTTTCGAGTTTTGGTGGCTACTCATGTTTCAGTAGACGCTCCGTTTTTTATTAAACAGTATATTTATTTCCGTCTTCCTACTTGATTATACGAGAAATCGTATTAACGAAATGTGCAATCTCCGGCATTTTTCATTAATAAGATTTCGAATATTCACGTCGGTGCAAGAAATACAAAGTTGTTTAAAAGAAACAAATAAAAATATATCTTGTTCTCAAGTGTACAATATGCAACAAGCCCTCTATAGGTATTAGCCAAGGACTTAGCAACATCAAATTACCAGGTAAAAGAAACTGTTTGTTTCGCAACACATCTACAAATGTAATCAAGGTAAATTTAAAATTATATCATTATATCAGACAATTATTCTTACCTACAAATACAAGTAAAAACTACATAACAGCACTGAAAGATATCATAAACACACACACACATAAATACACAACATACACACATAATAGCCGAATTCTAGCCTAAACAACTTTTAAAATTGTTGTTAAATAAAACGTATTCTAACCTAATCACATCTCGCAAAGTAATACAGGAACTTAAATGAATCCAATAAAACACCTACAGTAAAATGAAATTAAGATGAAAAGCTAGAAGATGTAGGTCATTAAATGACCCATGTCCTTTGTACTTACATGAGAATCTATATATTACAAGGTTTATAAAAAACAAAAGTTTACTAAATCAGAGAAGTGAATTAGCTATTTTTGCCGTCATTGTGATAAATTTTACTTAAATAATATTTAAATATATATTTAAAATAAAAATTGTGACCTGTTAATACTTGATGTGAAAATAATTTTCCATACTGTAAGTAATTCTAACACATTTACTTGTTTTAAAAAGAAATATAATATATTAAAAATTAAAAGTGCAAATATTTTTTTTAAATCGTAGTTAAATAAAACGTATTTAAACCTAAACACCCCCAAAAATCTATAAGTAGACAAATAGAAAAAATGCCGTAAGAAGTTTTGCCGTTAACAATAAATTTTTAAAAAGATCCATACGGAATGCATTGAACGGATGTCAGAATTCGTTGAAAAATAAACCCTACCCCTACCAAAGCATAACTAATAACTGATACATCAAAATACAGCGATAATAAACACGCAAACACCCCTTGTCTGGATGAATGGATTTTCTCTGTATCCTTGGAAACATGAATTATGAATTTTTGCTGTGCCTTTAAAACCCAGTAATTTTACAAATAAGTTACTCCAAAATTCGCTTGAGGATGAAATGGAACTAATGTCTTTAATTTAATGACAAAATTAAATTGAAGCTTTTAGCTTCCATTTTTGAAACATGGTTAGAACTGTGTAGCGAAAAAATATTTTAAATCATTTAATTTACAATATTAATGCTCTGCAAATTTACAATGAGCAGTCTTTTAAAAATAAAAAAAAAATCTATACGAACACCGGATTATATATCTTACTGTCCTTTCTTTTTATATATATATATATATATATATATATATATATATATATATATATATATAATATATACAATATATATATAAATATATATATATATATATATATATATATATATATATATATATATATACTAATTCCTTATAATAAATCAATATATATATATATATATATATGGAGAAGGAATATGTATACACATACTAGCAAAATACACGCAATGCACAAAAATGTAGATAGGTTTAAAAAGATACAGACGTCATAAAAAGAAAAGATCAAAGACCTCCTTCCTTCGCCCTTTCTCTGACCAATCATAATTGTTTTATTACTCCTTAAGCCGAGCAATATTTTCTCCACAAGTCCAACAGAATTTGTATTCCTACTACACACAAAAAATAACTGTTAAACATCGTAAAACAGAAAGAAAATAATTTCTTTAAACAATACGAGGAAATAACGACTTTTAGCCTGATGAAGCTTGCAAGACCCGAAACTCGTGTAGCAAATATATCGAAAATAAAGTATAATATATAAAAAATTCATTATTTGGACTATTGTCCTCATCTTTGTCGCCATGTTTATCACAACGTTTCGGCCGTTATACGCTCCGGCCCTCTTCAGGAGGTTGGAATGTCGAACTGAACCTTTTATTTCGCTCACTGGGTAGACTGTTTTAATTCCACATGGCATGCTTGAAGGATGTCAGCTATCAGCTATCTCTTGTTAATCTCCATCTGAAAGCTCTCCACCGCCTTAACCGTGTATTGAACTCACACTCTTTGGGTCCTGTCACTAACCCGCGCCTTTATCCACTGTGCCATGTGTCCTCAAGGACACATGGCACAGTGGATAATAAAAAAATTCACATTATTGCCAAGAAAGTTTGTGGCTTCTCTCTTCTCATTAATATATATATATATATAATATTATTATTATTTTAAGCATTTGCAACTTATTGCATAGTAGAATACCCGTTACATGTTGAATACATATCCCTATTGACGTACAGATAATATCGTTTCAATGGACATTTTGAAAGTTTTGACGTTTTCTGAATATTACGGAGTAATATTGTCTACTTTTTCTAACGTTAGTCTTGTTGTACACACGGAAATGGACGTCTGTGCATAGTGTCCGTAAATGTTGCTGCCTACTATTGAGCAGTCTCATCTCTTTTCGTAGACGATGTTGAAGAAACACTCCCTCAAGAAGACGTCGGAATTCAGAATCACTAGAGACAAGGAAAGTCTGGAGGCACATTATCGCCTATGTCTTGAGCAATTTTATGTCTTTTTACGGGAAATTATAGAGAAAGTTGGAGTAAACAACGACAAACGTCTCGACTATCCGTCCCAGCAAGGCATGGCGATCCATGGCAATGTCTCTGGAACACAATATCGCCCCCCGCCCCGAAGGATTTTAACGCTTTTTTTTTTTTTTGAAATTGCAGACGGTTTTGAGAAAGAAACGATAAACAATACAACTATCTCCGTAGAAGACAGCAATTCAGAGATAATAAAGAAAATGCGCCTATGGAGACTCATTAACGCCTACATCCTGAAGGGACACGGCTATTAATATTCCAATGATTATTCCATATTTGATTGGATGATAGATTTTTTTTATAAGTCTTATCTATACTTTCTGGGATATTCAAAGACGTAACATATTTTTGAACTGTAAAATTACTTTTGTGGTATATCGTATATATGTAATTAAGCATGTCCACTGTTTTCGCGGGAAAACAGCATATAGCGTAATGAAAAATGCCACAAACTTAACTAAAATAAAGTTTTATCGTCAAAATGCTTATGTTATTATTAAGATGAAAGACCAAAGTATTTTTTAATTATTTTTTGAAATTTTTTAATCTTTTCTAACACGTTCGAAATTTTGGTTAAATTCTTCTTTTGTTTACGTCATCGCGGCGTTACAGAAAATAACATACTTTTTTGCGATTTTTTTTCCGTTGAAAACATACTGATTTGGAAATTCTTGTAAAAATCAAGTAATTGTCCGATTTTAATGAAATTTTCAGGACTTATTCACAAATGAATGAAATTATTTTTTAAATGTTTTTTTAGAAAATTTTGGTAAAAAATATAATTTTTTAAAATATGTTACCCCACATTTACTTAATTTAATGAAATTTCGCCCAAAACATTTTGGTTCCTGAATTTTTTTTTTTTAAAGGTAGGAGTCTTCGAAGATGGTAAATAACCTAATTTTTTTTTTCAAATTTGAGCTATCTAACTGAAAATCTGATCTGAATTGATAAACAATGAATTCAATAAAACTATGATATTACTTAATTAAAAAAAAGCTTTTAATTGCTTTTGTAAATAAGTAATATTAAGACATTATTGTCTGAAGAAATAATTTTTTCTGATGAATAATTAATTTTACAAGAATTTTTTCGTTTTTTAAGAAATTTTAATTATAATAATTTATAATAGTTTAAAATCGTTTAAAGCTCTGTATTAGGAGGGTTCCTCGAGGTGATGTAGTAATTAAGTGGAAAAAAAAATTACGAGTCCAAAATTGCTAAGTTTAATAAATTTAGTTGTGCTACTTTTTTAAAAAATAATTTTTATGTTGTATTTTTTTACTTAATACATTCCTTATTTCCATGTATGATATACAGAAATTGCCATTATTATAATAAGGTCACGTGATCTAAGGGTTTTGTCCCATTACGTGGCATTTTCAAAACATTTCGTTTCTTACAGGTATTTTCCGTTAAAAGTGTAAACTTTAAATTTTAAATTATTTTTTCTTTTTTTCATTTACTATTTGACTAAAAGTTTTATTTTATGTATTGTATTTCCATCAGTGTGTGTCATACTCAAATAGAATATATTTTTTTAAAAACTCAGACTTAAAAATTATGTCATTTATGGTCATCCGTAGTAGCTGTGATCGGTTCGTCATTCAACAATCCATCAATAGTTCGATCAGATGAACAGGACCGCTCGTTAATAATTAGTTGTATATTATTTTTTTATGCTATAAGTAAGAAAGATTTCTTTCAAATCAGAATACTTTAACTTTAATTTTTTTTAATTTTACTAAAATAACGTGTCAGAAATTTTTTGAAATATTTTCAAAATCGATAAATTTGTGTTTGTTCACAAATTTCTTAAAATGAAGAAAATGGCCGATTTTAAGAAAATTTAAAAATTTGAAATTAAATTTGACAATCAAATGTATATAGTTTCTATCTGAAATACACCAGAATTGTTTAATTAAAAGAAAGCATAAATTTAATGATTAAACTTTTTTTTAAAGCTAAAATAAAATCTTCAAGAATGTCTTCATTGTAAAAAAAATCATTTTAAACTTAAATATAAAAATTTATGCCGAAATAGTGGAGATATCTATATTTAATTAACATTTTTTAGTATAAGAATGATTTTCCCAAATAAAAATCTCACTATATATAAACATATCTATAAGGTAGGATATAGTTTCATCCTTTATCCAGGGGTATTTGCGAAAATATGAACGTAAAGAATCCGCCTGGAATTCGAATTTCACATTCCGAGTCGATAACCATTAAAAAGCACACACTTCCTGTCTGTCGGGAAAGATCATTTCTGAATTGAAAGCCAAGATGGCGACGGAAACAACTTCCATGTATTTCTTCAATAGCTATGGAAATTCACAAATAGCAAGGAAAGAGTTGGGAGTAGGGAGTCTCGAAGGAGTACGGTATTAGAAAACAAAAAAAAATTACTCAAAAGACAGTTTAACAAGTTTAAAATTCGGACAACTTTATATCTATGAATATTTCTTTTAATCTTTAATTTAATATTAATTTATTTTAAAAATATTTCATGATTTAAACATAATGTTATTTTAAAGATTTAAGATTTATAATTTTTTTAAGTGGTACAAAACTTTATAACTCCTATAAACAGACAAAAATTAATTTTGATCCCAAATAAATATCTCACTATTTAACACATATCTATAAGGTAGGATATGGTTTCATCATTTATTACCACTCAGGATGATATTAACATCATGAGTGGTAAGAATAAAATTAAAAAGTAAAATTGAAAAACAGGCTAGCTTACAGGTATCGAACCTCGCTCAACAGAGCCAAATCGAGGTCAATAAAGTAAATTATTTAAAAAAGAAAAATCGACGAATTGTATTGGGAAAAAATTAGATGGTAATTAGTTGGAGGCCTAAAACAAATTCCTTCTGTTAACATAGAGAAGGCTTCAATGATAGAATTTTTTCCCCAGTACACTTTGTCAATTTTTCTTTTTAGATAATTTTTTTACATAAATCTACATTGATGGTATATGTTATTTATATAAAACTACCTTCAATGTATATGTATAAGCTATGTTTTGAAATGTAATTGGTTATTGTGTCTATTCTTGGGTTCCATTCACAATCTACCTTATTTTATAGTTGCTATACAGAAATTAAATAGCTTATATTCCAAAATCCTGCAATATCTGAAAAGCAAAGCACTTCCGGTTCCATGAATTTTGGATAAAGGAATCTCAAACTGTAATAAGATTTGAAGTATATTTAATCTATCAACGATGAGCTCTTTCAGTCTTTCACAAACTGGAAAAATCACCAAAATATCCTGAAAACCGAAGCATTTCCGGTCCCAAGAATTTGGGATAAGGGATTCTTACCCTATAATACTATTCGCATCATGTTTTAAACCAGTAGTGGGAAAACATTTCAATGCAAGGAACACTTTCAAAAATTCACAATTTTATTAGGCTGCACAGTATATTAACCCATTAGCAGCATGGTCCGGCGTTGCCCGTGCTTGATTCAAAAATCGTACGATTCATACAGCAATCGCTATCACTGGACTTAAAATATTTTTGCCCTTCCTTGCCTTTAATGGAGTGCCCTTTGCCGTGCTCATGTTGCTACATGCCTTACTTCTTGCCTATCTCACACTGCGAATTTTTCTAAGCTCTATACTAAACTTTAAATCTGTTGTGAAAAAAGAATTAAACAAAGTGAACACAAAACGATCAGCTTTAAAAAAAAAGTCTCGTAACTGGAAAAACCGAATGAAAAAAGAATGTTAACAACAAATACTTTTTCACACCCAACCCAGTTCTGCGGAATCAGAATCAACGTTAAGTTTAAGCAAGCGAATGAGCCAATTGGAGTAAGGTGCCATGCAGATTTAAATTTTTCCCACTTGTGACGAATGCAGCTATCGAATTTTCTTGCATGCCAGTTAACATTCGTGTCAGTCAGCTGTTGGCTCTCACGCTGGGCAAAGGAATCTTCCTGTCTATTCGTGGCAGCCACCTACAGGCTCTTACTCTGGTCAGTAGAAAATGGTCGCAAACTATATCAAAACTGCCGTAGAAGCAAGAAAAAATCGATTATTTCCACGGTCGATGGGAGTTGGGAAATGCAAAGTTGGTCTTGGGCTTTCCGCTAACTTGGAGCATGGGCATGTAAATTTTTTGTGTGCAAATCTGTCGAAAATTGCGGCTGTGCATTAGTTACACACACACACACACACACACACACATCCTGACTTTTATAGATAAAGATAATAATTAATACTTAAAATAGACAAAAAATGGCTCTTAAAAAAATGAATTAATTTTTATTAATTAATATCTTATAAGACTGTAAGAAGATTCACATGAAACGCATTTATTTGAAAGGCGTAGTAACTCAGATTGAAGTACTTTAAAGAAAAGAAAATTAGTAAATATTTTTTAAGTTGAATATTTTCATGAATCACATTTGAAAGACAAAATAATCTTGTTTTAAGAAATAAATATTTTTATTAATTAATATTATAACGTAGAAAACATTTATTTGAAAAACAAATTGATTCTACCTAAAGAAATAAAAAAAAACAATTTCTACTAATATTTTAAAGTAGAGACTTCAAATAAAATATATAAAGTATGTAATTTTAAAGAAAATAAATTATTTAGATTTTGAAGTAGACAATTTACATGGAATAGATTTGTTTGAAAACAATTCATTTTAAAGAAAAATATTGATATTTTGAAGTAGTAACTTCATATGAAACAGATTTATTTGAAAACCAAAGTAACTTAAGAACAGAAGGATCTCCATGACTCAATGAGAATAATGTATCTGGCTTCAGTCATTTACCAGTTTGTTAAAATTAGGCGTCAAATTGCTTGTAACAATTATTTGGCGTTGCTAGGTAAATTTCTCTTTCAAATTTACTAACATTTGGTGGGCCGCATGAATTCTTTTGAGGAGCCGCATGAGGCCCG